CCGGGGCCCAGTGCGAACGTCGCCCAGTCTGGGGAGCAGAGGAGGGATGGGGGTGAAGAGTGGCCTCCATGGTGCCCCTGTCATGCCCAATGCGGCACCATAGGTGGTCCAGGAGGCCAAAACCCATGGTTACCCTCCTGCTGGCTGTCCTCCCCCCTCCTCACCCCGTCCACTGGGCTACCTTTGATGGCCCCGCCAATGACCTGCTGTGTCAGGTCCATGGCCGTGCTCCAGCTCAGGCCCTGGTCGGCACTGGTGACGCAGCAGAGGCGGGTGACATTTTGGCCGGTGACGATCTGGTAGGCTTCAGGTGTCCTGCCCAGCACCGTGATGAAGAAAAGAAAGAGAGTGCCGGTGAACTCATCATAGAGCGGGCAGGGGTTCATCGACCGGTGGTGCTGCAGCGTTGCTGTCTCCAGGACACGCATGTCTTCCCACTGCCCAGGGAGGAGGAGGAGGAGGAGAGGATGGAGAGGGGTAAGGACAACCCCACTTCACCCAGCGCAGCATCCCTTTCCCATGTGGGTGCCTCCAGGAGCTCAGCTGTGCTGCGCACAAGCGGTGGAAGATAACCACCGCCCTGTCCCATGCCCCCAGCCCAGCATATCCCCCCAGCCCTGGGTGCATCCCCCGTCCCACCTCCACGTAGCTCCCGTAGACAGTGCCGCGGCGCAGCACCAGCAGATTGGCGTGGGCATCATCGGCACTCAGCCGCTCCTCTGCGAAAGCCAGCAGCTTGGCCACACAGGGCAGGTAGAGTAGGGCAGGCACGCGGTACGTGACACCATTGGACTCCTTCTCGAAGAGCACGGTCCGGGCAGGGAAGTGCCGGGAGCCCATGGCGTCTGCGGCAGAAAGATGCAGCCCCACCCCAGTGGATGGATGAAGGGGGAGGCACTGCCTGCTGGGCACAGCTCGGGGTGTGGGCTGGGAGCTGGGATTGTCCTTGGAGGAGTTTGGGGTTTAACTTGGTGGGCCTGGATTTGGGGAATGCCCTGGGGGCATGGGCTGGAGGACAGGTCACTATGGGCAGGGTTGGGGTTGAGAGGGGATGAACGTGTGCTGCTGCAGTGGCAAGTCACCGCCGCTCAAAGGTGGGACATGATTTTGGGTGACACCGAAGAGGCTGACCTGGGCTACCCCTAAATAAAAGTAAATTGATCTTCAAGATGCTCTTCAAAATGGGTTTCTGGTAAATTGAGGCCAGTCAGCAAAGGCCAGGGTGAGACCTGCGGTTCCCTGTTCCCATCACCAAGTGGGTGTTGGCAGGGCAGAGCCCATCTCCACACGGCCAGGACCCCGGGACAAGCCCAGGGTCCTACAAGGGGGTCAGGGAGTGTTTTCTCCTGCGTTTCTGGTGCCTCCAGCGCAGCAGACCCAGCTGACTCCTCATTTCCCCCTGCCCTGCAGGGGAAACCTGGGGTGCACAACACAAACTGTGGGGTCCCCAGCCAGGCTGTCCCTGCAGCAGTGGGGTGTGAGTGTTCCCCGAGCACATCTCATTCATGGACAGCAGGAGTGCCACCAGGGTCAGCTGACCCCAGGTTACATGTCCCTACATGTCCCAAGTTATCACTGCAGGAGGCGATGGGCATCCCGCTTTGGGGCACAGCCACAGTGGCTGCAAATGACTTTCACCTGTGTTTTAATTAGGAGCTTTGGCTGATCAAACACCCCATGGAGAAAGCGAAGGCACTCACCGGGTCCTGCTCAGCTGGGGGTGTCCCCTCTGCCCCTTTCCCCCGCCACAGGGTAACGCCAGCTCCCGCAGCCACCAGCTTTCTGCAGAGCCTGTTGCCTTGCTTCTTTGCTGCCACCCCCCTTCGCAGGGTCCCCTCACCGATGGGTCACGGGGCTTCCGCAGCGGCGGTGGCTCGGAAAAAGCCCTGAGTCAGCAGCAGCGGCTGCTCATGCAGCAGTGGGTGGCACAAAGGCACCATTATCAGCCTGGGCAGGGCTGGGGGCCCCGCGGCTGCCTTGCTTGGACTCCCCGGGAGGGGATGCAAAGGGAGCCAGAGAGGGCAGTGTTTACATCTCCTGCCTCAGTTCCCCTCCTCCCACAGGCTGGGAGAGGCCAGACCTCCCTGCCCAGGTGCTGCAACCCAGCTGTGAGCTCCTCAGCCCATGGGCTGTGGTCCAGAGGGCCCCAGCCTTCCCAGCACCCCGCACCCGCACACAGGTCAGCTGTTAAGAAATTATTTTTATGCTTATATTGCATCTCTGGCATCAGCTTAGCTAAAGGGGCGAAAGGGACAAAATTCACACAGCAAGTCACCGATCAGACACTCCAAGGTGAAAGCCCGGACTCAGGCTGCAGAATTGGTGGGGAAAGGCCCCCGGGGATTGCCCAGGCTGAACATGTGCAGCTGCCGTCTCCTCCGCCCTGGCTAGTTACAAATGCCTCCTAAGCCTGGTTAATTTTAGATAGGGTTGCTGGAGCAGAAAACCATGTCAGTTGTATTGATCTCCATGTTGCTCCTGTTTGTACATGACACAGGTTGCAGAGGAGCAAAGGTTGCACTGCAGGAGGTTAACCCTTGCCTCAGCTGGCTTCCCTGGCTACCTGCTGGGTCTAAACATAGCCCGAGGAAAATCCCAGCTCTGCTCCCCTCCAACAGCATCTCTCTTGCTTCCTGGGCTGAGACATTGCTGGGCTGCTTTGTCCCCAAGGTGAAGCTGCAAGCCAAGTGACCCTGGATCCATCATCCCAGTTGCGCCATCTGGGTCCCCGCCACCACCCTGACTGGCACAAGCGGGAGGAGACGCTGGCTAAGCACTGAAATATTGCACCATTGGGAATGGCAGGCATGTTGGAAACTGGCAATGGGCAGTCATTAACGGTGGTGATGCCAAAGCTGTTGGACTTGACGATGCTGTCCTGATGAACCTTCCCAGCACCAGCATGGCAGCAGGGAGCTGGCAAATGAGCAAAGATGCCCCAGGCAGGTTTAATTACCTCCTTCAATAACGAGGTCATGCCCTAAATGAGCACTGGCCATGACTCCCTCCAGCCCTCTCCTAACTGGTGTTGGAGAGTTTGGCCAACACAGCAAGGGTGCCTGATGAAGCCCCTGCTGATAAAGGGCTTCAGGGATGCTGAGCCTTAGGGACTGTCCATGCCCAGGGACTGGGGACCCTTGCCCAAGAGAGAGGGGTGAAACCACAAAACAGGCCCTCCCAGGAGAGTGCCAAGCTGTCCCAAGTGGTGCAGAGGCCCCTGCACCTCATGACACGCATGAGAGGGACATCTCATGTGCTGCTGGGGAAAGGCTGCCAGCCAGTGCACCCAGCTTTGGGCATGATGTTCAGGACTCACATCTGAAAAGCAGTCCCGGCATTGCATGATGGTTAGATGTCATTGAGCATGGATGCTGCTGGACAGGAGACCCAGCATCTCTCCCACTCCTTCGAGTGCCGCACCCCCTTGTTGCACTCTCCTCCTCATTTCCCTTTCCCTTTTTGCCCCTAAATGCTTAAAATCAGGACTTGCTCTAGTGAGCTGTGACCAGCCTGGACGTAATGACAGCTATTAAATAGTCGAATGCAAATAAAATAATTAAGCCCATAATTCATGATTAAGAGGCAGGAACGTCTAAGCCATCTGAAAGCCTGCCCAGTGCTAAGCAGCAGCAGGCTGTCCCCCTGCCTGGGAGTGGGCAGGAGGGATCACACAGGATCCAGCCAACGCAGAGCCTTTGGCCCAAGGTCCCCAGAAAGGGACCACCACCAGCTCAGTGCCCCAAACAAAGCCCCCCTGCTTCCCCCTCGTGCACAAGAGTCCTGTGGGCCAGCCACGTGCCAGACATGGGATGATGCAAAGCAGTGGAAAACCGCAGTGGGTTATTGCGTGCCCTAGTTGGGAGTTTGGAGCTGCATCTTCTCCTGGAAACTGGTCCACAGCAAGGGCAAGCCTAACTGCTTCCTCTTCTTGTGCGGGTGTTGAACAGCGTAAAGATAGGACATGTACTGGAGCTCTGGTATAACCATTTTCTGGCAGGTTCTGAGAGTCCTGTTGTCTAAGTCTTCTTTGAGGTTGTACCCAAGGATATTTGTAGCCCCTGACTGGTAAGGCAGGAGAGCTTTGTTTTTGATGTGATCCTTCCCCACTGCCTCCTGGTCTGAGAGACAGGTCTCCATGAGCTCCTTCTGTCTTGTTTGCAGGTGCTTCACCTCCTTCTCCAGCTCCTTGAGTCCTATGGTCTCCTCAATTCTCCTCCAGAAGCTCTGGTTGAAGTGCAGGTAGAGCTTCCAGTCCAGTGAGCACCACGCTTTTATCCGCTCTTTGCTTTCTGGAGTCAAGGTCTGGACAGTGTCCTGGCTTCTGGAATTGAGCTTAAAGTAAACCACATCATCTAGATCCCAGCACAAAGTGTGCTTCAAGAGGATCATGGACTCATCAAAGTAGTCTGTTATCAAGATCAGGTGGAAGTTCTGTTCAACCTCCTTCAAGACTGCCTGGATGTACTTTTTGTTGTCCTCTGCATTGTTATCATAGCCAAAGTCAAACCACATGATATTCCTGGCGTAGATGTTTTGCTTGTAATCTGCTGGATGGTAATACTTCATGGGTGATGCCAGGTACTCATTCACGTCCTTGGATGTCCTGAAGGCAGGGACATCGCCCTTGTAGTAGACATAGGAAGATTCCAGCAGAGGAATGGGGTTTCTCAGGATGGAGATGTAGAATGTGTTTGCTGCCATCACCTTTTGTACCTATTTGCGGGGAGGAAGAACAGAGGCTGTTAGTCTGGAGGCACTGCTTGTTCAACCAGATTTTTCTGCAGGTGTTGTGGCTCTCTCTTACCTCTGAGGGGTTAAACCGGAGGTGGTTGCACATGATATTGTAGTTTTGTCCTATGGCTTGAAATTCCTCCACAAAGTGGGCCAGGAAGGTCTTCGGGTAGCCCAGGTGGACGAGCTGGCCAGCTGGGAGGGCAACAGTGAGGTTGTACCTCTCCACAAACCTGAACATGATGTTCAGAACAGTGCTGCTGGCTGTCTTGTGGGTCTTGAGGAACATGACGTTAGTCTTGGGGTGGCAAGGCATGGGAGGTATTAGCAGCTCCTCATGGCTCTTTGAGATTCTGCAGGAAGGCAACAGATAGGGAAAACAGGCTCTCCACTGCCATACCCCATCTCTGAGACCTGGCAAAGCCAAACCCCAGCAGGTTCTCCTTCTGAGACAACAGCCACAGCTGGCGCAAGGCACCAACCCGAACAAGCTTCGTCCCTCAGGTGTAGATGTTGGACAGTTTTCTGCTTCTCCAGGTCCTCACTTACCCAAAGGCTTCAGCTTGATCCCCTTTTCTTTTTCCATATAGCTGATTTTGCCCTGAAGAGCTGCACTTTGGCTAATTTGATCCCTTGCCTGCCCAAATGTGGATCTAGGACTTAACTTTGGGCTGCTGCCCTTCCAATATTAGCCTAAACCCCATGAGAGTTAAATCAAGTGTCACAGGTCAGATCCTTGCTGCCCTGGGCAGACAAAGTCATGCAACCTTACTTCTGCTCCACTTACGTGTAATTTTTAATCTTCATATAGAAGAATCCTGACAGGAAGATGAGTCCCAGGCAAAGGTTGAAAATGATGAGACATTTGATATGCCTGGAAAGAAAGCAGAGTTTCAGTGGATTTTTATCTGATAGTCCTTCCCCAAACACAAACCACCAAACTTTGCACATTGGCCTTGGGAATTTTTATCTCCAGGAGCACAGTTTTATCTCTCTATGGTGCCAGCCATCTTTGGCTCCCCCAGCTGGGTCAGCAGCTCTGGCATTAGAGGCAGGACAGTGAGAAATTGCACTTTCACTACGACTCTCCTAATTTTGGCCTTTGTCAAGACACAGCCTACTTCAGGCAGAGCCTGCTAAGCTCTTCCAACAGCATCCTGCTCTGCTCTGCTGCCTTTTATTTTGCTTTTCTTTCGGTTTTCTGGGGCTTTAGAGCTTATTAATGTCAAGCTTTTCTCAGCAACCACTGAGAGCTAGAAAATGAGCCCTTTGTAGGGGTATAGGGATTTCCTTGGTAAGCAAGCTGAGCACCACCTGTAATCACATCACTCCAGAAGATGGGGATCTCAAAGAAATACTAAACTGAACTTTTTTCAATATAACTGAGACTTTTCAATACAGAAAACCAGTTAATAACACAACAGCACCTGTAATGGACTAATTACACCCTGCTTTCAAACAAGAGGACTGCTTCCCTACTGTGACAGCTCCTCCTCCCAGCCCAGCTCTCATGCTCAGCCTCACCCAGGTCTCTCTTTTGTCAGATCAGCATAACTTGGCCAGACTTTAAACTGCCTGAGCTTTGGACCAAGCACCTCATCTACCTGTGCTTTTCCTGGATAATGATGAGAGGTGAGTCTTCCAGCACTAATTAGGCAACCACCACGTATCATCAGCAGTGCATTCTAGCTGGGACACATAAAGGATCTTTTGAAGGTTTGATGCCCACCAGAAAGGAACTTTTCATCACCAAGCTTGATCTGACTTCTCTGAACTTAAAAGCTTTTTTAACTCAGTGTGAACTCCATGTTTTCAGCCACCATTTCCAAAATGCAGTGGATCTGGCTTGAGCTTTAAGATGTTTTGAGAAGATACAGTCCCATTTACAGCATGGGATGGTCACACTCATGGTTCCCACTCTCCCAAGCAAGCAAGGAAGGCTCCAAGCCTGCCCAGTCTGAGGGTTGATGGGGGCACATGGATTGCTGCGGCTGGTGGCCCCTTCTACTGTCCTGCTGGCCAAGGGGTCCTCAAGCATGGTCCTGCTGCACAGGGTGGTGGCTTTTGTGGCCTCCAGCTTGTATGACATGAAAGACACTGAATCACTCCTTCCAGCTGGCCTTACAAAAGAGCAAACAAAAGTTTTATCTGTCATGGTCTATAGCCTCCCACTGATTGGCCACAGTATGACAAGCCAGGCTGTGACAGCCTGGATCCGAACATGGAAAACTGGAGAGATGATGGGAGCAAAGTCCAACAGAACATGAAGAGCTGCACATAAAAACAGCCATCATAGGCAGCTGCGCTAGCTGTGATCGGGGAGCCACGAACCGAATGTAAACACAATGAAAGCATGGAGACAGGCAGCAACGCTGCAACACTGTGATCATAGAATCATAGAATCGTCTAGGTTGGAAAAGAC